CAGTGCATGAACACGAAAGCCTTTAAAACTCGGCTGCGGACGGCACCGAGTGGAAAAAAGAAGGTAATTCCCCGCTGTAAAAAAGAGGAGAGCAGACGGTGGGAATAGTGGGAGGGGATCCAGTGATATTCAACTGCTGAATTAAGCAAAATGTTTCGCTGTAAGGATCTCTCGAATTTTTTCCTTTTTTTTTTTTTTTTTTCCTTTTTCTTGCACTGTCACTGGTTATCGACCAATCGAGTATCGATTCCATTCAGGAGTTAATTAAGATTACACGACGAGGCGAACACGATGTCTATTCGAGCGTGGTAGTCTGTCTCTTCTCATTAGACATCGGTGAAAACGAATCATGGACATATATTACCACGACGTTCGTTTCGCCGAGAGACAGACATAGAGAGAGATACCTCTCCGATTGGCATTACGTCGAAGAAATAACACCTGCTTCGGGCAGAGAAAGAAAATAATGAAAATATCCTTACACAGGGTGTCTCACAATTATGAAACTCGACTGAATAAATAAAATGAACCTCGTAAGAAATAAACGCGACGAGAAAGTGGGACATATGGTGATCTCCACATCCGCCGAATGTTCATTTTTCCTCATTTCTCCATTCGTTCAACACTCGTCGTTTCGAGACACCCTGTACAAATCCAACGAGATATACACACGAGACGATAATGAATAAGTTCGACGTTCCGGCTGAATCATTCCAATTACGCTCGAGCGTACAAACCGCCACCGATTCATTAGAAGAGAGCAAGAGAGAAAGAGAAAGAGCAAGAGAGAGAGAGAGAGCNGAGAGAGAGAGAGAGAGAGAGAGAGAGCGGTCACTCTCGCGTGTTTACGAGTCACTCGATACGTCAGTACGGCGTATGTCCGACAAGTGTGTTGTTGTACCTGTTGCTAACGCGCGCGCGTGCACCACGCCAATACAATAAATTCTTGTTGCGTCAATGATTAATCACGAATGACAAAACGGTGTAATATGATACCGACCGCCGCGGCTAATAATAAATGACCGCGGGAACGATTCGATCGTTCCGTACTCGCGTGGTAACTCGGCCCCATAACTATATACGCTATATATATATATATATATATATATATATACATCGAGCGTATATATTTTTTTCTCGCGATGCTCGCGAACACGTTTGACAAACGAAGCGGACCCGATCCTCATTTTTAGAACGAACGACAACCGACGACGACTTCATATGTTACGGAGGAGCGGACAGATACGGATGACACGGTTGAAATGGCGGAGAGACAAGGGAGGGGGGGGCTTCGATAACCGGTGCACAAACGATCGATTTTTAGATTTTACGATATTTTCGATCGTGCGAAACAAGTTTGAATGTTTTTTGAAAACGTGGCAACGAGGGATCGCGAGGATTTCGATGGTTGGTTAAGCGGTCTTCGCAAAGTTTATTGCCTTGGAGGTAACCTTTGGGTCCCTCGTAAAATAGTTTAAAATGTTGCTGCTTTTGATATTAAATAGAGGTATCCTGAAATGGTGAATTTCAGGAAAATTTACGACGGCTCTCGTTCGTGTTTCGTATTTAATAAATTTTATTACGGACTCCGAATCCGTGGGCACGATTTACGCAATTTATGCAATTCGTCAAAAGAAGCAGTGACTAATTAATAAAGAATTTTAGATTTCTAAAAATTTCTTTCCTCGCGATAAAGTTTAAGTTGAAGATTATTTCAAGATTATCCAAAATTTACTCAGTCTCGTGTAAATATTCTCTTCTCGTTAAAATATATATATATATAAATTGGAAGAAAAAAAGCAATGGCCTTTGGAGGAAGGAAGATCGATCGTTCGATCGATGTGCCGAGGCACGACACCGTTCTCGCAAGTCGTCGCGCGATTAATCTTCGTGTTGCGTGAATCGGCGGAAGTGCCACGTCCACGCAAGCAGGCAGCGTGCATTTTATATGAAGTCATTTGCATCGAACGCGACCACGAAGTGTGGCCTATAAATTACCGCGTGTCCGTGATAACCGCAACGCCAAACGAAAAAAGACAATAAACGACACGAATGCTTCTGTTTGTCCTCCTTGCCGCTCTCTCTCTCTCTCTCTCTCTCTCTTTCCTCCCTTACTTTGCACGACTACGATCTAATTGCCACTCTCCACACGGAGCAGGAATCAATCGCATGCACGACTGACCGTTCGTGTGCAGGTGAATTAACACGTGACTGCCCATTGATGTTTAGCACAGCTCGTGTCTTTGAACGGTGAAATGTCCGCTCTTTCGCGAAAGGATTATGCAAATCGTGGCTTCTGTTGCGGTATCGTCCAGACGTTTATTTATCGTTCAATTAATTCGAAGTTTTCGAATTTTTTATTTTTGAAATCAATTGAATAGCGAGTGGAATAGCCAGTGGATGATCATTTCCACGACACGCACGATTCCTACAATCGTAACGTTTTTATTTAAAAAATTCGATTCGATATTTTTCTTGTTTGACGTCGAGGAAAGGAACAAAAGAAGAAGAAGAAGAAAGAAGGAAAATAATTTAAAAAAAAAGGAGACGAAACAAAACGCGCAAACAAAAATTTACAACTTCCACAATTTAAAATTTTCCTCTAAAAAAAAAAAAAAAAAAAAAAAAGATTTATTACCTTATAAAATCACGTTTCCTTTCACGATTTTAACAAAACACGATTCGAAGAACGATTCCCATCAACTACCTACGAAAAGGGTATTAAACACAATGGAAGGAGGAAAGATATATCCAGGATCGTAAAGCCCGCGCATCGATTGCGCGGACGGCCGCGCATGATCCGCGTGGCGCGTAAATTCGAAAGGCGTTCCTCCGCGACCCAACGCGACCTTCTCCGTAGGAGGCGGCCCGTCGACGATCGTTGTATTCGCGGGCTAATGAAGACGCATACACACCGTGTGACGTCGCCGGCGCAATAATGAAGATCTACGGGCGAAAGTAAATCCTATACATATATATAAATCCTATATACATATATATATATATATATATACATATATAGGTATATAACTGTGCGCACACCTGGCGTGTGCAGTCGACCGAAAAGGAGAAGGTGCTATCCGAAGAAATACGCGGGAAGAAGCCGTTGAACGGGTCGCCGTCTGAATGGCCGATGGTGTAAGGGTCAGCAGTGGTGTTGTGTCGGTTTCATTAGAACGTGCACACGTAGAGATCGACTTGTTTCTTTTTACTTGTCGGTATAAAACGACTCAGATTTATGGATTGTTCTTGGTAGTGGCGCGTTTTAACACTCCCGCTGTTAAAAGGGTTGTTGTCGCTTATTGATGGAGTTTGTTGTACACGGTGGGGGGAGGGTGGTGGTATACACGTATTCTTATTTCCGCGGGGTGGTATTTTCTCCTTTTCACACACGTGTGCACGTGCGTGTAATGGGGAGAAGTTGGGGATATTATTACTGCCGTTTATTTAACACACTTGCATCTTGTGCTCGATCTGATATAGACGGATCTAATAGAATTGTTACCTGTTTGAATTACAATCTGCCTCCGACCATTTTCGATATCGTCGATAATTCAAAGATAGTTTTTGATAATTTTAAATAAATGGACGGATCTAATGGAATTGTTGTCTGAATTACAGCTGGTCTCCGACTATTTTCGATATCGTCGATAATTCAAAGATAGTTTTTGATAATTTTGAATAAATGGACGGGGAAGATTGGGGAACGAAGTTTTTAGCGGTAATCCAAAGAAAGGTATTGATTTTTTTATGATTATGATGCGACACACGTTCCTTTGTTGCCTTGAGATAATCTTTTTATTAATTATAAAATATTTACATTTTTGAGTGTGGAAGACACAGTGCTTATTTCCAGTTTAGAAGATTAGATCCCGTGATCGTTTCTTTTTATAAATGGAATTCTTTTAGAAGAAGAAGAAGAAGAAGAAGAAGAAGAAGAAAAAGAAGAAAAAAGTACAAGCAATAAAGCGTGAGAGTACGTGTTATTAAAGTCTTTCCAACCAGAAAAGTAGGAGCAATTTCCAACCGGATAATACCGTAGCGAAGAAGTTAAATATTCTGGAGATTGGTATGATTAACCGGGAGAGAGGGAGCTACTGGATTTAAAAGAAGTGGTTATTTATGAAACCTCTCGTGTAATTTTCAAGAAAACGAGGAGAATTAAGCGGGTAAGTTGCTCGTTAAATTCGGATAGAGAAGGTGCGTTATTGCTGCGGACATTAACAAATGGCATAGTAAAACGATTTATATCCTCCAACAATAAGCAAACAAAAAAATCCCAAATAATAGAAATTCGCAGTTGTATTTTTTATTTATTTATTTATTTATTTTTTTTTTTTCAAAAAGAAATTATTCCACGAATTGTTTCAAATTTTTACTTTCCATTCTCTTTCTTCCTCTGTCTAACATACTATTTATTAATTTCGTTTATTTTGATAAATCATCTATAAATATCTACATATACATATATGGGTTTTCTTTGTAGAATTTCAATAATCGTAACGATAAAATAACATTTTAGTTGGAACTTCCGTTAAATTAATATTCAGGAATGTAATAATAATAATAACAGTAGACAAATTAAGTTTGCAACTTTTGATGAGTTATAATTCTACGAAGTTCGTTTGTTTCTACGACAATATCCAACACGTTATACCATCGTTTATCATGTAAACTGTATTACAATCCAAACTATTGTTGATAAAACATTGCGGCCGAGTTTCGTGAAACGTATTCGAATAATTATCAACGTCAACAAACAGTGTAATTTTAATGTTTAAGACAAATTCAAATAGATCCATTACGTGAGAATTTCATTCTTAAATTGAAATTTACACGTGGTAAAGTGATTGGTGGATTTGGCGAAACGAATATAGCAGCGCAATGTATCTTATTGATTTATTTAAAAAAAAAAAAAGAAAAAAAAGATTGCACAAAACGATTTTCACGAATTAAAAATAAAAAAATTTCCGACATAAATTACATTATCATCGACTCACCATAACGTAGTGACGCTGCATCTCAGTCTTCTCCTGGGCGAGTTTCTCTAGTTCCAATTTAATACTGGATAAAACAAACAAGAAAACACAAAATATAAGCAAAACATTTATAAATACATGGAAAATCTTATGATAAGAATATATTTATACGAATAAAACTCTTGAAAATTATTTTTCATTAATGAACATTGCATCGAGAGTGAAAAACATTTCTGAAATTAATATCTCAAGAGTTTTGAAATATATTCGCATCATCCACAAGATCGAATCGAAATAGAAATTTAAAAGAATAACGATATTGTTTGAATATACATGAAATTTTTATTTCAAAATATTTATTTGTATTCATTGTATAATTATCGATATATTCTTTCATTCGAAATGTTTTTACGACGAATATAAAAAAAAAATCTGTTATGACAGAAGTTTATCATTAAAATCTGCATCTTTTTAAAATGTCATGTCGAAACTATCGGAAGGAGTTGCAATTGCGTGAATAATTCATAGAATGTATCGATGGAGGAATTTATTGGATTCGCGTAAACTCGATCTCGATGGATCGTTGATGCCTTATTTGCCAAGATTTAAACAATTTTCGAGAAGAGGATGATATAAGAAAAAAAAGGAAAATGATTAATTTTAAAATATAATAATAATAATAATAATAATAGTATTTATACAGCTTGTAGACAAACTAATATACACTTCATTATAGATATTTATTAATGATTCGCTTCAGTGGTCGCTGACTAATCGATTATATAGTTCGATAAATTTAACAAGGTCGGCTTCTTATTATTCGAATGATGAAATAGCGGATATGGATTTCATGCATATCCTTTTAAAAGAGATTTAATAATCATAATATTGAACGAAGGTAAAATTAAAATCGAAAATCTTATTCATCTTGTACAACTAAAATCTTTTTGTTCATATGCGATTTACGTTCCTTATACTTTTTATAATTATTTCCTTTTCGTTTTAATCCGTGAAATATAATCCATATTGCTTACCTTCATAAATGAATGGATAAAAAGGGAAACGTTATATATAGAATTAAAATTTATGATATCATCATCATGAGATCATAATTTCATATTAATTTCAATTAATATGAAAATGAAGAATAACAAAATTGTGTTGGGGACATTATTTTCGAGAGTATCAAATTTGAAAACTATATACGAATACAGATGAATACTTAAGAGATATTGGATAATTTTCAATGATTTTGTAATTAAATTTACAGATCGATTGAGCAATAACAAGTGGCATTTAGTATTTTGTAATAATAAAATAATTTAATTTAATTGCATTAAGCGTTTAATTATGTTACGGAATATTATATATCCCTGTAATTTGTATTTCAAACATACTGTAAAATTAAAAAAAAAAAAAAAAAAGACAGAGAGAGAAAGAGATATTTATAACATATTTTTTAATACTTTCGAATGAAAGAATAAAAGAAAATTACTTTCGCAATTATGTTTCAATGATCAAAATTAATTAAAGTTAAATTAATCAATTCACGTACGAAAGATCAATAACACGTTTCACGTGTCTTTCTGTTAGAATGGAAGATAAATCGATAAATCAACTTGCCAGATATTTCATCCATAGATATATAAAGAAGTCAAATAACACAGTAGATAAAATTCACGATATCGAGTCGCATGTAAACTGCGCAAATTTTTATGCAAATGCATACTTTTTGTATTACACGTTTTACATAATTTGCATAACCAACGAATATACGATCGAAAAAAAAGTTTAAGATAATAATTCCTCGATACACACAACCCACAACCCACATTTTCTACGTTTTGCCTTTTATATTATTTACAATTTGACGGTCCGAAAATCAAGCAGAAAAATATGTCGATCAAAAAACCCGTCCAACCCAATCCCACAAACGGTTGGTTGATTTTTCAACGGCCGATCTTTTATCGACACGCGGTTATCGGCTCTCGGGCAAAATAATAATAGGGCGTTAAATGGAAAATTAATTTCCATCGATGGTCCGGGGAGAGGAGGGACGGCGTGAAACGAGCATAAACCGCGTATAAGGCCCCCCCCCTCCTTCCTCCTCCCCCCACCCCTCCTCCTTTTCACGGCGGAAGTAATTTTTTAACGAGAACGCGCGTCATATTTTTGTTTACCGCGTCGACAGCGAAATAGACCCGGTGCCGGCGAAATTGCATCGCCGCACGCCAATTCCGTATAATAAATACGCGCTCGTAATGGTCGAGCACCGGCCGATGCCGCGTAACCCCGGCCGCGCGTGGAAAAACCTTCCACGAGTGTCGGCACTCGTAACGATTGCTCACGATGGTACACGTTTACGCGTTTGCAACGCGCGCTCAAACTCGGTATCTCGCGAACGGACCCACGCGAGATAATTCCCCGCGTTTTCTCCGCGTTACAACACCAATTAGACGAGGATTACGCTTTACGATATTTTTCTTCGTGTTAGTTCGAGTTGTGGAACTTCGATAGTCACTTTGTGTAAGTTTTACTATCACTTGGGTAAATCATGGGTAAATGCGATATCATGGTTTCGATCGATTTTCTGAAATCTTTCGAAGTGTTGTTTTTGCATTGATGATGATTATGAAATTTTATGAAAATGTGAGCACGAAAGGAAAGGGGCTGATATATTTGATTATTATTTTGGGATGATGATATTAAAAAGGTGAACCTGTTTAATTTAATCTTTGTACTACTTTGTATTTTTTGGGTCTATGCGTATATATAGCAAGCGAATAATTCATTGATGCCACGAATAGAAAACGATGTATTATTACGTAACGAGCAACGTTTTTAATTGTGTTATAAAGCGGAAACCAGATGACTGATGGATATATATTATCTTTTTCTATCGAGAATATAACGTTTTTACGTTTTCGATTGTAGCTTAAATATTCCATAAATAACAAATTAATTATGTGGGATTGGTTTAACGAATTCAGAACGGGGCGGAAAAAGCTAGGAACACGCCTTCTATAATCTTGGAATAACGTGGGTGGATAGTACACCGGTGTGTAAACACATCCTCTCCTCCCATCTCTTGTTTTCCACCATTCTTTCCACCTCTCGGCTTACCATCCCATAATACCTCTGTATCTCTGTTTTTTCACCGACCAGTTTCTCGCACTCCAATTTAAGGCCGCATAAAGGGAACAAGAACAAGGTATTAATATCCACCAACCCTCGTGAACGCAGAATTTGCCTTTGTTTGCCTGTTCGCTCGCGTTGGCTGTCGTTATAATTCTGGCATTAAATTAAAACGCACGCGTTCACGTTTCCGCGATGACAATAAAACTAACGAGAAAAATTGTTAACAACCGAGGAGGGGAAACAAAGGACTGAAAGAAGACAGGCCGGCTAATTCAAACACAAACGGAATAAGAACATCAATTTCTCATTCGTCGAAAGAAAGGATAATGATTCGATCATTCTCGTAAAAATTCTTTCACGATATACAACTATTCCAAATAGAAAAAAAGTTAAAGAAATATTATCAAATTGTGATACGTATCTGAATATTCAAATAATCGAAACGAATAGAAAAGAAAAATAGTATAATTATGATTCTGCTTGGAAAAAAGAATCTTATATCTAACCTCAATCTATTGTCTCTCGCTTGTTCACTAACCTTGTCGTATCTCGTCACGATGGAGAAATCTCTATCGATCTAACGATCGAGCAAACGTTTCAAGATTCAATTTTTCATTCGTTAACACACAATTAACAATTAACATTCGTTGAACAAAACGAAATCGATCGAAAAAAAAAATTATCACAAGATCCACGTACGTGAGCGAACGACACACTGCAGCGCCACCATGCCAATATGGCGGCCATCGATAGGCGAATCGAGATTCGATTGTCGTTCTGCTCTCGATTCTCGAAGCGCAAATCGACACTGGCACAGCTGTATGTCTCGACCTTTGCTTTTTCAGCCGTGAATGTCAGTCTGTAGTGTTGCGGCACGATCTGTGATCGACGGACAATGTTGTATCGCGCGTGCACGCGGGACAGTCGTCGTGGCCGCGTGAAATAGCCCTTCCGGTTGCTGAACGCGATCAGCACGCCCGATACTAAGCGTAACGAGAGACCGTACGCTCGTTTTTACGCGCGTTGGCGAACAGCTTTAAAAGGAACGGTTGAATTATTCAATAGAGGGAGTTCTGCTCGGTTTGGCGCGCTGCAAATTAGACGTTCCTCGAGAACCTTGTTCGGCAAAGGTATTCCGGTTGGACGCGTTTTTCCTACGTACGGCATTTTCCAATCTCGCGGCGCAAAGATACTTAAGAGATATTAGTTCGATTGGTTTAAAACGCTCCTCGTCCAAGTTTTTTTTCCTTCTCTTTTATAAATTAGACTCGTACTTCTTCGCTCCCTTCCTTTCGCTTAAAATACCCTACGTATCTGCAAGTTTTTTAGTTTTCAAGGTGAAGTTAAGATACTTGAATTTTCGAAAGCAAAGTTAGGTTATGCGAAATTTAAGAATTCGATTTTATTTTTCCCAATAATAAATAATTTCTCGTAATAAGATACGATCTGATTTCTAATCTAGTCGTTCTAATAGCAAAGGAAAATAATAACAGATATTAAATTTTTCTTGAAAAGGAGAGCAATATACTATCATATACGTTAAAAAAAGAAATGAAAGAAACACCGAAATAAAAATAAGAAAATATCGTAGCTATTTTCGAAACGATTCGATCCTGTCTCGAAACTTGAACCAACCCCTTGATTCCAGTGGCCATGTAAGGAGGAATCGAGAGCGAGAAAAGGAACGGTTACGTCACGATAAATTAGCACGATATTAACGATCGATCGGACGATAATTCTGGTTGCGGGGCCCAGGCCAGGCCCATTAATTATCTCAGATTGGCGCGGCACAACAATTTACAAGCCCGTCTTATCGGCCGTATCCGCTTCTCTCCTCGCCTCCGTGAACGTTCCAACGGCATAAATAACTAAAAGCGAAAACGCGCGCACCTGTTCCTCATCGCGAGGTGTACAACCGTCGCGAAATTCTCCGTCGTGGTTCGCCCTCTCTCAATTTGTAAACAGCAAATTTATAGCCCACCCTATTCCTCCCTCCCTCCCTCCTCGTCCGTTCTACAATTCTCTCGTGCTCGCGCCGGATCGAGAAAGCATTTATCCGGGCGTACATAAAGGCGTTTGATAATAAAACTAACGCGGCTCCGCCACTTTCCGCATCATCGAGCGTATAATACACACATAAAATGAATTATTCCGTACGATCGGCGCTGTTTGCACGATCGGGAAAATCCTGCGCCACGGCTTATGCAACCTTTCGTTTCCTTCTCCCCAAACGCTGTACTCGGTATTCGGTTGCGTTATGATCGAAACGTTATGGTCGGATATAAATCACCGGGGGAAGAGGGGAGAAATATGTTTTTTCCCGTTTAACGTATTCTCGCTTCCTTCGACTTTCGTCGATAGATCATCGAAGATTATTGCTTATTATCCTGTCGTCCAATTTCGAGCTTCGCAATTTGAATCGATCATAGTTTGATTAACATTCAATGAATCGAAGTTACTTCGATGATAACAATAATAATAATCGTAGCTACGAATAAATAAAGTTACTTAAAGCAATACTTCGAAATTTTCGTAACGATTTACAATTATGAATCTTTAATATTAACTAATTAATCTATATCACCTAAAACCTCCTCCCTTCTCTTTTTCCTTTTCAGAAGCCAAAAAAAATCATGCCACGAGATCGTCAGCCACCGCTTGTCAGTCCCGAAGCGAGCTCGAGAGGGAAGAGGTGGGAAAAATCGAGCACTCTTAAAGGAAGAGTTGGTGACGTGCACGCGGGTTCGAAATTGCCTCCGCCACCGCGAATCTTTCTGAATCGTCCTCTAACGTATACGTCGCATGGAACGCGCGTACGAAATGTCGCACTCCTCTCACGTACCTCTCTCGTACATATTTATGCATGTATGCAGCACACCAGTCCCTCTGGGGGACTCTCCCTCCCCTCCTCCCAGCTCAGTCCCCCGTCGTTGCGTCCACGTTGCGACACGAAACAGCAATTTAAGTTTCCGTCGTCGGTGGAAATCGTGCGGCACGTGACGTCGCGAATTAACACGTTAAAGGGTCGCCACATAAATTAACGTGTCAAGCCGGGCCCCCGATAAGGATCGTAGGATCGGGGCGCACGGGTGAAAACGGAAGAAAGTCCTCCTCTCTCTCTCTCTCTCTCTCTCTCTCTCCCCTCCCCTCCCTTCTTCCCCTCTTATCGGCTTAACTTTTCTCTTCGCCGGTTGCTTGTGTAAGGCTCGCGTGTAACGGCGCGATCGTATCTCTCCGACCGATTACACACCACCACCGCGCGCTTCTATACTTGTTACTCGTTTTTTTACCACTCGTTTTTATTTCGAACGTGGTGACACGTGAACGGGAATTCGAAGAGATCGGATTCCTCCTTTTTCTTTCTTTTTTTTTTTTTCTTTCTTTCTTTCTTAGGTTTTTTTTAGGTTCGGTTTGGTTTTTCAATGGAGGGAACACGTTTTTAATCTCGTTTCGTTTGTGTCGCTATATATATTTATATTTTTATTCTCGTAATTAATATTAATATTCGAACAGTGGCGTTACTGGTTTGATAGATAGAGATTTAGTCTCTTAGAGGAAATGGAAGTGGAGGAATGGAATTCGAAAGATCGAATGGGACGAGATTATTAAGTGGAGGGATAAAAGGAAGAAGAAAGAAAAAAAATTCCAAAATCCAACAAACTTTCGCCTCCTTCGCACCATCTCCGCGATTATCCCTTTATTTACCCCGAAGATTAACTTCTCGAATTACTGTTTACCGAAACAAGCCATTCACCCAACAAAGGATAGACTCCAATATCGAAACTTGAAGAGCCATAAAGCGCGTTTATCGCGGTAAAGTACAATAGGGGAGTAGGAATGGTTGGAGAGGGGTCATTCGAGTCGAAGAGAGATCGAGTGGCAGCCGTGTCGAAAGAAAATATGTTACAAGACGTATTCACAAGGAAACTGAATGGTAGACGCGTAACACGCGTGCATAGAATCGAAACCGAGAGGCTCGTCCTCTTATATGTGTGTGTGTGTGTGTGTGTGTGTGCATACTTGAGTGTGCATAGCTTCCGCTCGGACAAACAATTCTCTGCCTACAACTGTCGGCCTGCCCCCTTGCTCGCTTCGCCTACGCGCTTCGACACGACGTTTGCGCAAACATTTCCCAAGATAAGATCAGACGTATGCCCGAAGAATTGACTCTTGGTCGATTAATTATCCCTGGATAAAATGCCATTTTGTTCTATCACGAGAAAAGAAAAGAAAAGAGAAAAAAAAAAAATAGAGAAAATAATAGATTGCAAAGATAAAAGAAAAAGGGAGCAAGTAAATAATAAGAGTATTTGAATGGAATTTTAATCTTCTTCTCTCGATCGATTAACTTGTTACAACAATGATGTTTAAGCGATAAATAACAATTGGGTTGGGTTTCTCCGTTTTTTTTTTTTTTTTTTTTTTTTTTTTTTTTTTTTTTTCATTATTTTCACTCTCGTCGATTATGGAAAAGAAGAGAAGGAAAAAATATTAAACTCCATTGGGAATTAATTGAACGTTGTCCTGCTTCGCGTCAAGAGAAATAATTCTCATGCCGCTACTACTATTACGTTTCGCTACGATTCATTTTCACTTAATTCACGTCTGACAAGCGTGTGTCGTGGCGCGAGAACATAATTCCTACTTTCACCGACAGCGTATAATTGTTTGAATGATTACAAACGATACCTACCTACCTATCTATCTATCTCCTCGTAACGTTCGATCAAAGAGAGAGGAGGTAAATAATATTTAATTTGAAACTTGGATCCTATCTTAAATAAAAACGTGACGCGTATAATTTTTCAACGGAGGATCTTCGAAAGGGGATTCTTTTCGAAAGAAGAAGAAGAAGAAAAAAAAAAAACATTACATTTTTCTCGAATCGAGCAAAAAAATCCATTCCCCCCTTAAGGAGGGGGAGGGATGATGATCAAAGGGGATCGTTGATTTATAATCAAAAGTGGAAATAAAGATTTACCTGTGATACTGCGTTTGAAGGAAGTTGAAATCCTCCTTGATACGATCGCACAACTCGCCGATCGAGAATTTATATTGTTGACCTGGTTGCGGCGGACCCTGAAACATCGAATAAAAACTTGAGGATCGGCTCGGTTTCGGTCGAAAAAAATATTTTGCTCGACAACACCAAAGGAGAAACACGTTTCCCAAGGATGAAACGAACGAATCTTCTCTTCCTCCCCGGCATAAAAAAATACGCAACACTTCGCCCATTGTTACACATTTTGTTAGAGGAGAAATTACAATTACCGTTTAAATTGTTATCCGGACGAAGTCAAGTCCCATTTGTCTTCACGATGGTACAACAATGGTACGGTATGATTTTCGAGGTGTGGTAAAAGATGAGCATTTAGCCGCGCGTGCTTCATTTACATTTTATCGGGGAAATAAAGTTTTCTTTGCACGTTGGCGGAAAATATATATATATATTTTTTTTTTCACTCTCTTGCACGAAAAAAGAATGGTAAATTAGGGGGTGAAATTAAAATATCCTTACGCGAATTCAATTTAAATTTCTGAACGAATAATTGAAATTTCGATAAAAAGAATATTATAAAAATAGAAGATATATTTACACTTATTTTTATTTTTAATATCTCAATTTAGCTTTAAAAAGAAATCAACGTGATAGCCTTGATGATAGTTTTAATTATTTCTGATGGCCTCTTATTCCTACGTCGTTCAATTTAAACTTGATTGAAAAAAGGGAGAAGAGGGGGGAGGGAAAATTTGTAAGTAGTAGGGTATTATTTTTACGTTAAATACGATAAAAATTCTGGGGGAGCATTATCTAAATAACGAACGGGCTTTATAAAATTCCCTTGAAGCAATTGATTTTTAACCCACCATCAGAGTACACAGGTCTCGAACGTCTGATGTATAATGTACTTTCCCATGCGAGGCAACGGCGTATCTCGTCGACGATGAAAAAGGAAGCCCTCGAAGCGGCAGGCGACTAAAAGGTTACCCTTAAACGACTCTGCTTGATCTTGTTTGCAACCGAGCGTACCCCGAGACGAGAGGCGGGAAAATATTTTCTCGTGACTCGAATTTCCATCGAGGGAAGGAAGCTCGAGCGAACAGGTTGCGCGAAACACCAACCTTGTCTCGATCCAGAATCAAAACTCTCTACTTCGATACACGCAAAAAAAAAAAAAAAAAANATCGAAGAATAAATCGATATCGTTTCCCTTTTCCCCTGCACTTGTATTGTATTTTCAAAAAAAAAAAAAAAAAAATCCTCGTGTAAACAATGTTATTTCGGTCCATTTCTTTAACCGCAGACAAGTGACGAAAAAATATTAAGCTCGTAAAAAGAATCATAAAGTGCTCGATGATAGTTCTGTCAGAGTTTCGCTCGATGTGTGTTTACATTAAAAAAAAAAAGAAAAAAACCCGCATTGACGATCTCGAACAAGGTCTGAATTTTTACGACGGTACGAAAAAGAAAAAGAAAAAAAGTCAAACAATTCGCGGCACGAGTGCTGCGATAATCCATCATCTCTTGTACATATACCATAAAACTCGATATATTTATTTCACTCGTCTTTTTCTCCCTTCTCATGCTCTCCTTATATCCCAACAAAATGAGAAGAAAATTTTCAAAATCTTTAGAGATTAAATCCCGATAAATCCCTCAACTTCTTTTCCAAGTATTACATAATTGTCCAAGTTTTACTTAGACTTCTTCCTACCATTTACCACGCTAAATACAAGTACAAATCCTCTTTCACCAATAATAATGTATAATGCACCCCTATTTATCTAATTTTTACCAGTATCCTCGAAAGCGTCACGTGATTCGGAGTCGAACGTTTTCCAAGCGTAATCGAACACAGCGATTGCGTCGGAACGAACGGTAATCCTTCGATGTGCCGGATGCACTTGTCACGGCCCACGTAAGCAGCCGCCTCGAGGCATGCACACACGGATGCAACCGGCATAAGCGGCGGAAATCGTGCCGCTGCTTTGGCTTCCGTTCGCTGATTACGCCTACAGTTTAAACCTGCGCGTATATACCCCGACAGAAACGTGCTACACACATATATGTATATATATATATATATATATATATATCTTTCACTCTCTCTCTCTCTTCGAACCGACAATTTCAGCTCGTAAAAGCTCGGTCTACGAGAGAGAGAGAGGGAGGGGGAAGAGCGCTAGGAAAAAAAGATTCCGGAAACACTTTAGATGGAAATCGGTTCACGTCGACCGCGAGAAACATTGTTTCCTAGCCGGGGGAATATTCGCGGAGGAACGAAGTTTCTCGTAAAAGCGTAACACTCCGGCGGAATATTGCCTCCTCGAGTGTAAAGACGCGGCCAACTACCGCTATACCTTTCCGGGGATAATCGACTCGGGATGTATAATCGGCCGGTAATTGTCGTTAATTAGCGGCATCGTCCAAGTCCATTAATAATTATCCGGCTTTCGATAGAAAGGAGGAATAAAAAGGGTAAAAAAAAGGGGGGAAGGAGGAGATAATCGGAAACTTCTTCTTCTTCTTCTTCTTCTTCTTCTTCTTCTTCCTCTCGCAATGTTTGCAAGAGTTTATAAGGATCTTAACCTTAGCAAAAACCTTCGAGGGGAAAAATTTGGAATTTTTAAATCTTGGAGTAAAAAAAGAAAAAAAAAAAAGGATAGAAAGTTTCTACGAAAGTTAATATTTTACGTTAGATTGCGAGCGATTTAAATATCGGTAATTGACGCGTTGATTCGAATTATGCAAGGAAAGGAAAGTTTATTTTTTCGAGAATAAACTTATAGGCAACGATAAAACAGACACAGCCTTGCTTCGAGATCTTTCCAACGGAGATTAAAGTTGCAAAGGATATATTTTTAAGTTACAGAGATCCGATAATACAATACACGACGGCTCGATACTCCAAACCACGAACATCCAGAGAGACGTTTCTCCGTATTCCGAAATGAAATTTACATTATACCCTGAAAATCGGTGGAACCGGTTCTTACCGGGTATTCGAAGGGAGAAGAGGGAGACATTCGAGGTGTCAAAGGACATTTCGGTCGCGTCACTTTAAGATTTTCCGCAACGTCCAAAGATATCCCGGTTGTGTCGCGAAATTGTTCGCGGATCGATAAAAGATCCGCGATATCCTCCTGCTTTTATTCCCGTTGAAACAACGAATGTAAGGAAGAAAGATATATATATATATAGAAAGAGAGAGAGAGAGAAAGATCGTGTCAGGGAACGGCGGAAATAGTGGCGCAAATTCGGTTGCTGCTCCGGCATTTGAAAGCCCGATGGAAACCCACGCTTACCGACTTTGGCGGCAGCTGTACCAGCGCCCACGACCGTAAAAGCCACATTATTACCGGTAGTACCGCTACCCACCTCCGTATACCTGTCGGTAATAACGTTACGAGCGTGTTATCGATCGTTTTGCACGTCGTACCCCGCAAAACGGATACGCCACGACGGCCTCGTAAAAGCTGAAATAGTTCCTCCACCTCCGCCGCCCGCTGCTCCCTCTCGCTCACCCACTCTGCGCCGACACTTTATATATATATATATATGTGTGTATATATATACATATATACACAGGGTTTTCGGATGAAGTGAGTAGAAAATTTGTAGAGCGATCCGAGAGATTAATACGTGTGTAATTGAAGCGCGAGAAGATGTGGGTCGAGGATTATTTATCATTAAGTTAAGTTGTTAAGAGCAGTTTCAAATGTTCGTCGAATTGTATATAATTAAAATAATGCGATGCACGATGTAAAAAATGAAATATTGTGGAGTGAAATTTAAAATATATGAAATAGGGGGGGATTTTTATTGTAATTCAATAAATATAATACATCTCGATTTAACATATTATTGATATTTTAGATTTCCAGAATCAATTTTTTCAAATTTTCATCGTCACCCTGTATATCGTCCTTGCTCTGAACAACTGAATACCATTTACACGTAGATGTTATTCTATACAAGAGCTTTGCAGCTTGTACATCTAGCGAGCGTTTTAATAAAAATGATAAAAGGAAGGAATCTTTCGCACAATGATTCATCAATGTAATAATACATGCAAGAAAGAAGAGATTCTCTTCAACTTGTGAATGCGTAATTAGAAAATATAAGAAATTTAACTTTCCTCGATTCGTTAATAATTAGAAAATCAAAAAAAATCAATGACTCTCACGAACTTTCCATCAAAAATCAATGACTATGCTCGTAAAGTAGTCAATGATACACCATCAAACTATTTCCACAGATTTCCCCTAAATCGATGCTCAGTCAACAATGTCATCTCGAATAAAATTCGCCAACTTCCCTAAATCAGGGCCACATGGCCACGTTTTTTTCTCTTTACGAAACGTATATATATAACGCCTCCAAAATTTCCTTCGTCTACCTTTTAAAACCTGATAAAAATTATTATCAAATTTAATCTAAATTTTACATTTATATTATTTATAACATCATCATATTTTTCAACCAATCCTATCCCTCACGTACCTTTATTACGATCCATCGAACGTGTATTTGTAAATTTAAAAAAATTCCATAATCCGAATAACCTTGATGGATGAAAAATATATATATATATATATATCAACGAAATATAAAGCAAACTTTTCCCAACTCGCCCATCGAATGGCTCCCATTTCACGACCACGCTCGATAAAATCCACCACAACCACGTGCCGTATATTACACGAAAACTATCCCGAGCGACTTTGCTAGAATCGATGCGTTTATCGGGTTAACGTAATATTTGCCACCGTGTAACCCGTCACACCCCATATCTTACTTGTCGCTCGAGTTCGTAACGTGTCCAAGCCCAAGCCCGACCGACCGACCGACCGCCAAAGCATCGTGTTGTACGTGTACACCAATGCAATGTATACGAGACGGCGATGTTTCTCAACCGATATCGAGCAAGCGTGCATCGATGCACGCGTATACACGTGAACCGCCTTTTCCGGCTTTCGAAAGGGCCGTCGAGGCGTGTGTTCGACGGAGCGTGAGTTTAAAGCGCGAGGAGGAGACCGAGGGGAAGAAAGGGGGAGCGCGGCTGCTGCTACTGCTG